TCGTCTCTTTTGGCTCCAGGATAAGTGGTTTGGAATTTTCTATGTAAAAACTTAAAATAATAATAATAATAATAATAATAATAATAATAATAATAATAATAATAATAATATTTCTGTCCTTAGCCCAAGGCTGCCTGCCCTCTTTGCGACCTCAGGCCCACTTAGGCCTGATAACCTTCCCTGAGCCTCAATGGAGGATCCAGACTGCTGTAGCTGATTGAGACTCCTGGGTTCCCTACCCCCACCCCCAGCTCCAGTCAGGGCTGCAGGGGCTTCAGCCAGAAGTGGCCCTTAACCTTGACCGGTCCCCATCAGGTCTATATGGAGTGTAGAATTTATAAAAATGGATTTGAAATCCACCTGACCCCCTTATCCATGACTACCACCCAAATTCCCATCACCATTGTCTGCCTCCAGCTATTGTCCACCCACAAATATCTTCTCATGGATGCTTCAAACAAAAACCTAGCTTCCTCAATGCAGCTAATACCCCACCCCACCCCCAACACAACAACAGGTGACAGTGTGGATCTGAGAGACTTGCTGCCTGGTAAGCCCCCCACAGTGATGGGAGATGGCTGTAGTCATTTTCTTGGTCTCCTTTTTGAGGAAAACAAAGCCGTCTTTCCCTCCTGCCTCCTTTTTTTTTTTTTTTTTTTTCAGCTCTAGGGATGATTCCACCTCCTAAGAATGTTAAGATGAACTCAGTTAATTTCAAGAACATTCTACAATGGGAGTCACCTGCATTCCCCAAAGGGAATCTGACTTTCACAGCTCAGTATGAAAGGTAGGTCTGATGGCTGTTTACAGGAAGGGTTGAGGGTGGTGACCCTGGGCTGGACCTCAGGAGGCAGCCAGTCTCTCTGCTTCCACCCATGTGGCTGTGACTGTCCAGGGGAGTCATCCTGTTAGCCCTTTTCTTTCTCTAAAGGGAAATATTGTAGCCAGTACTCTCTACACCTCCCCTCCCCCACCCCTCCCTCTGACTCCAGATCTTTCTCAGCTTGCTGTGTAATGCAGGGTAGTGTAGAGGCACTATGTAGCCCAGGCTATCCTCAAACTGATGCATCTGAAGAGGGAAACAGACGCTGCTGCTGTCATTCCCGGTTGTACAGCTAGCATCGTAAACAGTCAACAGTGTATTAAGTGAACGCTGCCTGAAAATCCCAGGGGTGCGGAACAGTCAGGAAGACTCTTGCTTCTCCACCTATCCTCTGCTGCAGGCCTCCTAGAACGTTCTAGCATCGGCCTCCACCACTGCAGGGTCCTCTCCTTGTCCTGCCTATCTGCAAGTCCCTGTACCTGGTGAAGGAGGTACAGGCCAGCCTTGCCCACACTCTGTCCTCATTGGCTGTAGGCTGGATGACAGGTGAGGCACCAACAGCCGCAGGAGGCCCAAGGGCTATCAGCCAGCACACATGACTCAGAAATGTGGGAAGACAGACAGGCCCTTCAGCCATACAGAGCATTCATTGCCTTCCGGATCTCAGTAGCCCTGCCCTCTGTCTTTTCCATGCAGCTGTCATTTTACACAGACGCCAAAGGATGACAAAGTTCAAGATGGAATAGAAAGTGAGATAAAGTGACCCTTGCCTACATGCTGGATTCTTAATGTTTCTCTTAGTTAGAAATAATTTCATACAAACTGAACATTTCAGCGTTTTAAGTATAACGATAAAAACTAGAGTACCTCCATTGAGACTTACCAGCTCTTAGTGTTTACTATATTTTTCCTCCCTGGACTCTCTGCCTCACTGTATCAATTTCTTCTCTCATTGCTATGATCACATCTGACAAAGCTACATGAGGAAGGAAAGGTTTTGGGGGGCTTGGTTTGGGGGTACAGCCCATCACTGTGGGGGGCTTACCAGGCAGCCTATCACACAGAGGTATCCAGGTAGGAAGCAGAGAGAAAGCTGCTTCTGGGCTCTCCCTACCCATTTTAGTCAGTCTGAAGCCCCAGTTCATAGGAAAGCTCTGCTCACATGCAGGCATCCAGATGTCAAACCTTCCTGGAAACACTCTTGTAGCCCTACTCCGGAGGGTGTTTGCAGGCTGATTTTAAATTCCATCAGGCTGACAATGAAAATTCACTGACGTGCATGCACACATTTCAGTGCGTGTTTCATGAACACAGGGTCCACCTGGTGTAGCTGCTATCCATCGTCCAGAGCCCAGTGGTTGACAAAAGTAGGGTCTGCAGCATCTCTATCGAGGTAGGCTTTGTATTTCATCTCCATGTTTTCTCCACTCAGTCTGGAAAGACATGGCAGTTTCACTGTGGAAAGTTCACTTCCTTCTTATGACAATTGGAGTTGTTGTTGCTGTCATGAAATGCCTGAGGCTGGGCCACGGGTATCTAGCTATTGATGGCCTTGATGGCAGAGTCACAAAACAGTGCAGGAAGGGTGTTGCAGATGAGTGACAGAAAGCACGCATGATTATTCGGGTACCACTTTTTTTCTTCTTTTTTAATGAAGCCACCAGTATTTAGTCATATTACATATTTACCAGCAAAAGTACTCGTCAATGAAAAATCGGAAAGAGGAGTTACTACAAAATGGCTTTTGAAATACATGTGCGGGCCACCTGATGTATTAAGTGAATGAAATGGCTGAGTAAGAGAAAACCCCTTAAAGAAATGGTCCCTAGACTCCGAGATAGTAGAATGTTAGCTTGCCAGCCATGAAGAGCTGGTCGGTTGGCAAAATGTTGGCATATGTTGAGTGGGAACAGCAGGTTGTAGAATACTGTGATTGCAATAGTCCCTACCTACTATGTGCAAAGCTCTGGGCATCGATCACAATGCAGTGAGCCATGGGTTGGCCCTGAAAACCCTGAAGTCAACAGAACTGAGTGTATTAAGGCACTTGCTGATCTTGCAGAGGACCAGAGTTCGGTTCCC